TTTAATTCTATACCTCTTCAACATGACTTGTTGCAGGTCCTTTGGATCAAATAATTTCTCTGGAACACTCCCTCCAGAACTTGGTAACGTAGTCAAGCTCGAGCAATTGTGAGTGCTTTATTGAACTCATCGAATATGAATCACATGTTGCAATGTGTTTTTAATTTTTCTCTAAGGAACGTTTTGTTTGTCATTATCGATGAGCAAGGAATGCATTTATCCTATGAAATTGGTAGTAATCAGTCTATGATTTTCGCAGTTACATGGACAGCTGTGGACTTAGTGGTGAAATTCCTTCAACATTTGCTAAGCTCATCAACATGCAAATCCTGTAAGAATGGCCCTTAAGTGGTGTTTTAAGTTTATTTTGTTTATTCATCACTTTGAGATTGCTATTCAGGGATGAGCTTACTATGAGTCAACTTTTTGAATTTTAGCTGGGCTTCAGACATTGCTTTCTCAGGAAAGATACCTGCTTTCATTGGGAATTGGACAAAACTAACTGTTTTGTAAGTATGGAAAACTTTTAACCTTCTGCAGTTTATGAAAGCAGACCTGCATGGCTGAGAGATGGGTCTTTTATTCACAAGCATCTCAAATGTTTTTGTAGGAGATTTCAAGGGAACTCTTTTGAAGGCCCAATACCAACCAGTTTTTCTCAACTGACTTCATTGAACAATCTGTAAGGGCAAATGCTTCACACGTTTTACTCTCTCTCTCTCTCTCTCTCTCTCTCTCTCTCTCTACTAGCATCACTTATGTTTGTGTATGATAATGCAGGCGAATCAGTGATATATCTAATGTGAGCTCCTCTCTTGGTTTTATAAGAAATTTGAAGAACTTGACTGATTTGTAAGTTAACATTCTCATCCCTTCAAATATCGTGATTTAACTTATTTTTCCTTTTAAAATTTGCAATCTTACTCATTTACTTGTGCACTAAATTTTTTGGTGGTGGAACAGAGTTCTACGGAATGCATTAATCAATGGTAGCATTCCTTCTGATATTGGAGAATATCAAGATTTACAGATGCTGTACGTTCCAGCAGATATATAAGTTCAAATCCCAAAAATCCCAATTAATTTTCTTTCATTCTAATTGCTTTCTAACCTTATCATTCATGTTGCAGGAATCTGGGTTTCAACAATTTAACAGGCCAACTCCCAAGTTCTTTGTTCAACATGAGTTCTCTTACATACTTGTAATAAGCCTTGCCTTCTTTATTACATTTTTCTGTACTCATGCCATTGGATTTCCTGCTCAGAAACTTAGTCATTCATCTGACCTTTTTCTTGTTTCTTTCTTCTTTTTACCTTCTTTTTCTGGGTGCCTTATATTACAATTGAAATGGCTAGGTTTCTTGGAAACAATAGCCTGTCTGGACCTCTTCCAAGCCAAAAGAGCAATCAACTTCAGACTATGTAAGTCCTCATGTTATATAGAATGTACTGGCAATGAAACAAGTACTCTGTGTGCGTCTGTGTGCATATGGGTGTATCTGTGTACGTGAGATAAAATCTCAATCAGGGCCTCATCCATTGATGAAAACATTCTAATCATTTTTTTTATTCAAATTATTTTGGACTTTCATGCATTTTGTGCCCTCTCATTCTGTATTGTTATGTGCAGTGATTTGTCTTACAACTATTTATCAGGAAGCTTTCCCCATTGGGTAACAATAGTATCGCAACTGTATGTCTCCTTTTTATCTTTCACCTTCATGTTTATAGTTTAAATCACCAGAATCGGTTTGGGCAAAACATATCACTAGGATTTGTTCTTACAGTGCTTCTTTCCTCGAATATTGTGCATAAATAGTACCCACATGAATGAAATTCAATAAAGGCTTAATATCACAAAACGTCCCTAAGATTTACAAAATTATCAGATTGCATCCTTAATGTTTTTTTGTGTCATTTGTGGTCCTCAAGATTAGTATGTGTGCTCACAAATAATGTGTGGGACAGTTTGAAGTGATGGATTTGAAGTACTACTATGTTTAGATATTGAACATGAAATCTTTATTTAATAAACATGTATAGCTTCATATGTTGATTGATTATTGATTTTATGCAGGAACTTAGTGGTCAACAACTTCACGTTTGGCAGTTCAAACATAACGTGAGTTGAAGTTTCTATTACCCTTTGTTAGACAAACAATACTATCACTACTAGATATTACACTTCTTCAGTTTAATGGATTCTTCCACTACATTTTTCCATCTGGATAAATAATAATTGTTCTCTGTGTTTGCAGTCTTCCTGGATTGAATTGCCTCCAGAGGAATTTTCCATGCAATCGAAATACCCCTCGATGTAATCTTCTTTTGTTTCACTAGCCATTTATTAATGCATTATCATGTTACAGGAATAGGCATTGCTTCTCTAACTGTGTATACACATTGCAAGAGTGTTTTGATACATCTAGTAAGCGTATCTGGTTATAAATATCTGATTCAGAAACATCAGTATGAGTCTTGTCTTGAGTTTGAAGTTTTTATCACTAATCATAGCTTGTGCTACTATATTCAATTTTACAGATGCAAACTTCTCAATCAAGTGCGGGGGACCACAAATGAGAGGAAGTGATGGCATATTGTATGAAGCTGAAGACTCAGCTCTTGGCCCAGCAACATTTTATGTAACCAGTACACAGAAATGGGCTGTTAGCAATGTGGGTTTGTTTTCT